CCCTTTCCCTTTCCCTTTCCCTTTCCTTCTCCTGTCATTAGGCACCATTGAAAGGAGCCTGGCTCTGTCTTCTGTACACCCTCCCTTCAGGTGCTTACATACCTTGAGATCTCCCCAAAACTTCTCTTTTCTAGGCTGATGTCTCAGTCTTTCCTGACATAGGTTTGTTAGTAAATTATACACTTTAAAAATGATGTTTCTATAAAAACTACAAGAAACAGGAGAATCTTATGTTCGCCCGGTAGCAAAAATCATGTCCTAGACCTCATATTTCAAGGGTGAGTCCCAAATCCACTTAGATGTGAGATAAATGCTGCTTATCTTTGGATATAGTGTTTGCTCAAGGTACGAACAGAAGTGGGGCTGTCGCTGTGCAGGCAATATGACTGATGAGAAGTGTCTTGAACCGTGACCCCAAATCCCGCTGCAGTTAATGATCTGCCTTTGAAGCTCTGAGGCTCAGCAGATAGAAGTTAGACATTGCAGCACTGAGCCAGTGGATATCGAGGGTTGTCCCAAAGTCACTTCAAGGGCCAGAGAGACCAGATATTGTACTCTAATTTAATGGATGACAAACTGGCCTAAATCTATTATGATAAGCAAAAAAATGTAAGTATTTTTCTTCTGATGTATAGCTCTCCATATGACTACTGTGTATAAATTGCCAGATAATTCATTCTTTGCCCAATTTGAAGCTCTTTCTTTTCTAAAAATAGGTATGTGTAAAGTTCACTGAGATCTGTTTAATTGCTTTAGTTAAATAAATAGTAATGTAAAATCCTGTATCTCTATTTGTCAGCATATTCATAAAATTTGTTAATTAACCTGAAAATTGTAGGCACGACCTAAGCGAACTTTGCTTTTTTTTAACTCTGTTAAGTTCTAACTGTCCTATCAGTGCTACTGTGAAGTGACAGATGATTACAGCTTTAAGTTAACCACTTCATAAATACATGTCCTGGAAATATCTTCACCCATACCAAAGATGGAAGTAATCTATAAAAAAAAAATGCTCACCTTTTAAAAATTGTTCTCTTGTCTTTTCGTTTTCCTAGCAAGTGTTAAATAAGCTGTAATTCGCCAGGAAATGGTAGAATATATAGCTACCATTAGAGCTAGCTACTGAATTAAAATTAGCATTTACAATTTTGACTCTTGAATTTATGCAGAACCTCTGTGTACACATTTCCTTCTGGAGGAAATAAAATTTAAGAGCGTTTCTCCTGTTGGAGCGACATAGATACTTGTTACCCTGTATGCCTCCTTTTTCTGTAGCTATTTTAAGTGTAAGAAATACTGACCATCTTACTGACATAATAAAAACCACCAAGTTTTTCTTCTCAGAGTTCTTCAGTACGATTATGCTTTCCACAGTACCAGTAACATACCCAAAGATATTTTTTTTTCCCTTATTAGTGCACCTCTGGGGAACATTAATCTCTGAATAATTGAGAAACACTGGCTAAACTGTTAGGTTTAAATGACACATTAGTAGCTGTCATTTAAATTGATGGTTAGAGCTGTAATTGAGAGTAATGGTCAGAAGGTAACTACTCTGTTGTTGAATTTTTACTGCTTTATTAAATTACTGATCTGATGCAGCTCTGCACCTGGCTGTGATCTGTAATCATAAGCTATCAGAATCTTTTTAGCACTTAAGGGCAGAAATTGTGATTTTAAACCTTCCCATCATAAAGCTTCATATTCTGATTTGTTTTGTTTCTGCTGCCCGATACTGGATGGATAAGTGAATGGATACGTGAATGGATACGTGGATGGATATGTGGATGTATGTGTGAATGGATACATGGATGGATGTGTGGATGGATACATGAATGGATATGTGGATGGATACATGGATGGATGCATGGATGGATACATGAATGGAAGTGTGGATGGATGTGTGGATGGATATGTGGATGGATATGTGGATGAATACATGAATGGGTACATGGATGGATATGTGCATGGTTATACATGGATGGATATGTGGATGGATACATGGATGGATGCATGGATGGATATGTGAATGGATACATGAATGGAAGTATGGATGGATGTGTGGATGGATGTGTGGATGGATACGTGGATGGTTATACATGGATGCATATGTGAATGGATGCATGGATGGATGGATGGATGGATAAGTGGATGGATGTGTGGATGGATGTGTGTATGGATATGTGGATGGATGTGTGGATCGATGTGTGTATGGATATGTGGATGGATGTGTGGATGGATGTATGGATGGATAAGTGGATGGATACGTGAATGGATACGTGGATGGATATGTGGATGTATACGTGGATGGATATGTGGATGGATGTGTGGATGTATACGTGGATGGATATGTGGATGGATGTGTGGATGGATGTGTGGATGGATACATGGATGGATATGTGGATGGATATGGGGATGGATACGTGAATGGATATGTGGATGGATACATGGATGGATGCATGGATGGATACATGAATGGAAGTGTGGATGGATACATGGATGGATATGTGGATGGATATGGGGATGGATACATGAATGGAAGTGTGGATGGATACATGGATGGATATGTGGATGGATATGGGGATGGATACGTGAATGGATACGTGGATGGATATGTGGATGAATACATGAACGGGTACATGGATGGATATGTGCATGGTTATACATGGATGGATATGTGGATGGATATGGGGATGGATACGTGAATGGATACGTGGATGGTTATACATGGATGGATATGTGAATGGATACATGGATGGATGTATGGATGGATAAGTGGATGGATGTGTGTATGGATATGTGGATGGATGCATGGATGGATATATGGACTTTCAGCCTCTTATCTGTCATCATGTCAGTACAATTTGCTCTATGGCCTTCAATGTGGGACTCCCTCAGTTGCTTAAACCTTGCAAAGAATCAATAATAATTCCTTACACAGAAGGTAAATAGAAAATATTCTATATGGAAGACCTTCCATATTGTGGCACGAAGATCAGTGCTTTTAAAATCTTTTCATTATTGTTTTGTTTTGGACTGGTGTTTCACAGAGACAAGTGCATAGCTTTGTATTATGTGAGTTGTTATACTCTCATAAATGTTATGCAAAAAGGGAGGAAAAGACACTTACTCCTTAAATTCGGCGTTGTTCCCGTATGACATTAAAAACGACTGTTCTTGAAGAACTCATCATATTTGCTCTTTTCACTAACAATCTATGGACACAGTATAATTCTTAAAACTGCCATTTCTGCTAGGTTGTATTTGTAGAGACATTTACGCTGAGCACTCTGTCAAAATGTAGTATTTGATCACTGTGAGTGCTGACATTTGAATTCTTCCACTAAAATACTCAGGTAGACTTCAGACCTGCATTTTATAAACACAAGCAGCTGTAGAAATCACCGGGTTACTGAAGTGACTGAAAACGTGGGTGCTGCCAATTGTTTTTAGCAGTAATGGTCTGAGCTAATTTAATGACCTATTAGGGAGCAGCGTAGGGAAAAGGGACCTGGGGGTCCTGGTGGCCAGCAGGATGACCATGAGCCAGCACTGTGCCCTTGTGGCCAAGAAGGCCAATGGCATCCTGGGGTGTATCAGGAGGGGGGTGGTTGTAGGGCAGAGAGGTTCTCCTCCCCCTCTGCTCTGCCCTGGTGAGACCGCATCTGGAATATTGCATCCAGTTCTGGGCCCCTCAGGTCAAGAAGGACAGGAACTGCTGGAGAGAGTCCAGCGTAGGGCTACAAAGATGCTGGAGGGAGTGGAGCATCTCCCTTCTGAGGAGCGGCTGAGGGAGCTGGGTCTCTTTAGTTTGCAGAAGAGGAGACTGAGGGGAGACCTCATTAATGTTTATAAATATTTAAAGGGTGAGTGTCACGAGGATGGAGCCAGGCTCTTCTCGGGGACAAACAATGATAAGACAAGGGGTAACGGACACAAACTGGAACACAGGAGGTTCCACTGAAATTGGAGAAGAAACTTCTTCTCAGTGAGGGTGACAGAGCCCTGGCCCAGGCTGCCCAGAGAGGTTGTGGAGTCTCCTTCTCTGCAGACATTCAAAACCCGCCTGGACGCCTTCCTGTGCAACCTCATCTGGGTGTTCCTGCTCCGGCAGGGGGATTGGACTGGATGAGCTTTGGAGGTCCCTTCCAGTCCCTGACGTTCTGTGATTCTGTGAATAGCTTAAAACTCTATCTGACAAAGCATCCGAAAATTGTTGTTTGTATTTATATTAATGTATTAGACAGAACCATTAAATAAGACCTTTCCTATTCAGTGCATTAATTGCTAGGGCAAGGTCACATGCTCTGAGGCTCCAGAATAAATGTATCATGATGGCTTCACATTAATTTTGGTGACTGTGGGATTTGAAACAATAATTAAACCTGTTTTACATGAAAATCTGCTAAACAGTGCAGTAACCAAGTGTGTATCTCTGAGGGAGAACCATATTGACATTTTCTAACTTACAGGATCTGAATATCAAGACACAGTTTTCCTCTATCATATCAAATTAATTATTTCATTAGGGAGTATGTGCTAGATGGTATCAAGAGGAGTCATTTTGGTTTCTACTACCCTAAGCTTTCTTGTGGCCAGAAAAGTACCGATATTAATAGGATAAATGTGGGGATCCAAGATGGGCTGGCACCTATTTCACATGAACTGTCTCTTGGTCCTTCCAGAGGTATCTGTGAAGGTTGAGTGTATCTCAAAGAAGATCTGGTCCTCACTGTCTGCTGAGGAGGTAATAGTTCAAATAGTGACTGGAGGGACTCAGGAGGCTCACATTTTGTGCCCCTGGTTCTTTTTCGCTTGTTCCTCACTGGCATCAGTGTTTATGTATATTTTGCTTTCAGTCACCTCAGTGATCCTTCTCATTTGTAACATGGCAGTGTTAATTACCAAGAGTAGATTTAGGTTGGATCTGAGGAAGAAGCTCTTCTCCAGGAGGTGGTCGATCAGTGGCACAGGTTGCCCAGAGGTGGTGCAGGCCCCATCCCTGGAGATATTCAAGGCCAGGCTTGATGGGGCTGTGAGCAACCTGATCGGGGACCAATGTCCCTGGCACTGCAGAGTTGGACTGGATCAGCTTTAAAGGTCCCTTCCAACCCAACACATTCTGTGATCCTATGAATTTCAGTTGATTTCTAATGAAAAGGGATGAAAATTTCTTCAAACTCTTGGAGACATTACAGTCACGTTTGGCAAATATTTTAAGATAATGTTATTATTTAGACCACTTCCCTATTTCCCTGAATTAAAATGTGAAATGTCACTGAGTCACAAGCTACAGTGTATAAGTGATTTTCTTTTTAAGTAGTTTGAGACATGATGTCTGCCGTCGTCAGTACTTCATAGGCATAGAAAATAGGAGTATTTTGTATTTTGGAAATGCCGTGGTCAGACTTCTCTAAGAGTACCTATGGAGTGTTTTTTAGATTAGGTCTCTTGTCCATCAAGATACCAAGATGCTGCCTTTGCTGCATTATTGTACATCAAGTGTTGCTGTGAAGAGATGCAGTTCAGGGTCCACATCATTGCTACTTTTATTGAAAAAAAAATTGAAACTGTAGTCCTGGTGAAGTGAGCTATTCCTAATTTTTCAATGAGGATTCTGGGATAGAGGATAGGATTCTGGGATGTTCCTGTCCTTTGTCCCTCTGCTAAACAGAGGTGCTGGTATCGTCTATGTATCGGAAAGAAATATGTCGTATCTGAAGCTCTTTTAATATGAAGTCTGCCTTGACTGTTCTCTAGTAATCTGAAGTGATCTCCTAATGTCATACATGATGGTGGCTGTCAGGGAAAAGCTTGAAATAAAATAATAATATATAGACATCTTCGGACAGTTTACATTTTATGTCTGGCTGGCTGGTCTATCGGCACAAGGCCTACTAGATGTTCTAGAATTTACCAGGGTAATGCCAAAGGGAATATATTAAATTAAGCTGAAATAAGAGTTGGCTTAGCTGTCATCACCGTGTAGAATTATTCTCTGTTTTATTTTATTTTATTTATTTTATTTTATTTCTGTTCTGTTTGGGGGATTGGACTGGATGATCTTTAGAGGTCCCTTCCAATCCCTAACGTTCTGTGATTCTGTGACTACCACGAGTGCATTACATCTTGGCTTGGCAACAATACAAGTAACTCGGATACACGTTGCTGCTTTCCTTTACTTCAAATTATTACCTTAGCTTGCCAAAATAATTTCTGAAAAAAAGAATACAAATGCTATGTTAACACGGCACAGGCCTTGTAACTGCAAGACATCACAGAAGCTTGCATTTATTACCAGCTGTACGCTCACCATTTTCTCCTGAATGTTATTTTCGTAATAGGCAGACACAGAGAAAACCTATCTTGCACACTTTAATGGAACATGACAGTAGCAGTTCAGCCTGCATAGGAATAATTATCTCTACCCAGCATCACACTCAAGTTCTGCCTTTGAATCGCAGCTGAACCGATAGCCATTCTGTTCATTTGCAGCAATCTAGGTCTACCTCAGCCAAGCCATCCATGTAGTCGAAATTATTTGGCAATATTCCACTTCCTCTTTCAGTTCAGCTTGGTCCTGGAAAGCATCCCGATTTAAAAGCAAAACAAAAAAAAACCCCCTCGAAAACCAAATAAAATACAACAAACCAGGAACCTGAACCATAAAATACCAAGAGGACACTGGGAGGGCTGACTGAGAAAAGAATGTGTTAACAGGGATTTGCCCTAAAATGAGGTTTTGTTTCAGTTCTATTGGGATTGATAAAAGGCTCCTTGCTATCAAATATTTTCAACAATCATCTGAAACAATGAAAAAAAATGAAATAACTTTTGATAAACATAAGCAAGTGGCATTAAAAAATGGAGGAATGATAAATAATGTCAGAAAAAGAGCTGATACACAGAAAGATATGGACCATTTGGTAGCTGATTAAGGTGTATTTTAACATTGCCATATGTGCAGTAGCACATCTAGGAACAACATTTCATAGGATATATAGGCTGTGACCAAATAACTCAGCATGTGCTCTTAGCATAAAGTTCTGTGAAATATAAAGAACAGTTAAAATAATTTCAAATATAAACTAGATGTTTAGAACAGAGAGCATTTTTACTGCTATATATGAGCACAGCTAGTATCTACACTGTCAAAGGATGCTAAAAACCAGAAGATGTAGTCAAAAAGAGAACAAGTCATACTTTAGAAATGTTGAAAAGGTCTTAAAACATGTTGCTTTAAAACCTCAGTTTCACAGAATCACACAGACCGTTAGGGATTGGAAGGGACCTCCAAAGCTCATCCAGTCCAATCCCCCTGCCGCAGCAGGAACACCCAGATGAGGTTGCACAGGAAGGCGTCCAGGCGGGTTTTGAATGTCTGCAGAGAAGGAGACTCCACAACCTCTCTGGGCAGCCTGGGCCAGTGCTCTGTCACCCTCACTGAGAAGAAGTTTCCTCTCCAATTGAAGTGGAACCTCCTGTGTTCCAGTTTGTGTCCGTTCCCCCTTGTCCTATCATTGTTTGTCACCGAGAAGAGCCTGGCTCCATCCTCGTGACACTCACCCTTGAAATATTGATAAACATGAATGAGGTCTCCCCTCAGTCTCCTCTTCTGCAAACTAAAGAGCCCCAGCTCCC